ACTTTCCTTTGCATTGTCTATGTGTGAATCCAAAGCTATCATAGCTGTCTGATTGTCCGAGAAGATCCAGCCTTCTAATTAATGAACAAAAGTGAACTTTTTTTCCAACTTAGGTAATCAGAAAATCTTGCAGGCCTTTAAGAGTTGAGCTTTTTGAGATATAGCAAACCCTTCAAATCACTTTGCATTCTCAGGTCAAATTTTGTATGGCCATATTAAGTTAACAGTTTTTTGCCTGCTTGTTTTTAGAATAAAGTGGAAAAAGGCCATGAAATTAATATCGGAGCGAGATATATACATTACAATTTCATGAACCCTTTGTTTGGAAAGCCTGAATTGATAGTTAAAATGTTCTAGAAATTTATTCGCCGGAAAATTTCCCCAGGGATATCTTCAGACAAAATCTTTATACAATCAATGTAAAAGTCCACAGAAAAAATAAAAAAATATGACCTCTTGAAATAAGTATAAGTTTAGCTCTTTTTGAGGTTGATGGTTCGGGGCTCGGGTCGTCAGTATAACAATCATTGCTATCATCAGAATCTTAGACACACATCATAACGAAATCGCAGACGATCTTCAAAAGTGACACAGGTCAAAATTTGGCATTTTTGAAATTACTAAAAATGTACGCAGAGCTTTTATTTACCTTTCAGCAAAAGCTGCAGCAAATTTTTGTTATAATTTCTTTAAAAACCCTAAGGTAAAAACTACCTTGTCGATATGATTAGCATGTGCTGAGAAATAGTTTTTCTGATTTTCTGACAAACGCGTAATTTTGAGTTGGGTCACCTTTGAAGATCGTGTGCGAAATATGACTCCACTGCTAGCCCTACTGCTCTTTCTTTAAATTCTTCATGACCAAGATCTTCGAACAAATAAATGCTTGTAGCAACGTAAATCCGTATTAATGGCGCAGTTGATCTGATAAATGTTGTAGCCTTACAGACGACAGTATTGTGGATCAACTCGCTACACAGAAAGATGATTTTTCGATTTTTCAGTAAACGAACTGTTCGGGATACACAACATTGACATTGTTCAAGCATAAAAGGATTCATTTCGTTCAGCGGAGGTATGATATTGACTTTTTGTCAAGATTTTCAGCGGGAAAGAGGTGTATCTGTCAAAATTACAAATAATAAAAAATACTATAGGAATGGTCTCTGTTTTAAAGGAATAAACATGCAGTAAAGTTTCCTTTCAGCGATTTATGAGATTTTTAAACTGATATACATACGTATTTAAATAGAAATAAACAACGATTTGCATGTGAGGTATGCGTTAAAATAAATCTATTACGTCAATATTTTGGTTGTTCCTTTATAACATTATTATAAATATATGGGCAAATCTCAAAAAACGCTAAAGCAAGTACAATAAAAAATAAATCAAGTATTTTAACAACTTTAGCCTTAAACGTTTACTTAGGCGAAAAAGTACCGAAATTAATATTTTTTTTTATTGTCACTCGAAAAAATCATTATGTTTTTTTTAATAACTTTGGGTAGCTTTCAAATAGAATATTCATATTAGAGGTAATGGACGTTGGCAACATATCTTTGACGTTTCAAGACCGTTCCACTAAATTAACAAAAAAAAAATGGCAGCAGAATATCTGTCGCAGTTATTTTTTAATTTTTGAAATATCAAGATTTTCTTAATTTTAATTAGTTAAGATACTTTTATATGTTAGAATTAAACGGTAAAAATGTTCTTGCCAAAACGACTGAATCTAGTCGTAAAAAACCACCACCACCAGATAAAAAAAAATTACATAAAGTAAAAGTTGACTATGAATTGAGAAACTGAAATTCCTATTTTCACAATTTTTATTGGCACACTCGAAATTTATATGTGCATAAGGAATGCCGTGTTAAAATCTGCCACGCCAATATTTAATTACTTTAAAAAAAAATTTGACTTAGATGACTGCATATGGTACTACGGGGCGTATACGTTACATACGCAACTACGGGTACATTTAAATACAATTTCTCGACGTAATCTTGGTCCTAACACAAAACAGAAGATAATGCATTTTCCCAAATAAGTGTGCCTCCAATTTCGACCGAAAACACGTTTTTGTCGAAAAATTTAACAACTCGTGAGATTTGCTCATATGGACAAAATTTCGTAGCAAAAAATTCATTGGTTCGCTTTTTATTGTATGCAAGGTATGATTTCAAATAAACAAATCGTTTCGTATTTTCTTCCACAAAAATTACATATGAAAAATGTTTAGTCCTACGGCAACTCTATCTAATTTTTTCAAAAAAAACTGTATGGCAATCTTCCACTGTGTGTCGACATAAAATATATAAATATGTAGCTGACTAGAGCGCTGAAAGCATAAAAAGCGCTGATATCAGATCGCTCTCAGTGTCTTCGTACATTAGGGTGGTCCAAAAATACAAGTAAAAATCAAAAGTTCTATATCGAAAAAATATACCCCTGTTCTTTTATTTCCAAATCGAAAAATATTTAGAGGTCGCTCAAGGCGCTCAAAATTTTTCTTGTATTTTATATGGGAAAAGACACTTTTTAATGCAAATTCTTGAAAATCAGTATTTTTTTATCGGAAAACTCTTCTTCTCCTCAGCAGACTTCCAATAATAATAACCAATTGTTTATTTTACCATATTTTAATGCATTTTTTGCGGTTTTGGAGGACATATAAAAAGCAGTTGATATTATTTTTCCACATATAGGGAGTGAGAGCAATAAAATTCGGACTTTATTTCTTTTGGACCAGCCTAACGTGCATACAAACATATGTATTAGGATGTTCGATTATTCGCCTTCCTCCAAAACTGGTTTTTGAGTTATTCGAAACATTGCAATTTGAAAAAACCGATTCCCGATGAAATTAAGAAAAACCGGATAAATCGGTCTTATTTTATATCGTCTTTATAGAGTGATAAGCAGTTGGTATGAAGTCATGACGAAAAATTACAGTAAACATAGCATTTATTTAGGAAAAAGCAAAGCAAAATAAGTTCAAAGGTTTTTTTTTTTATATCAAAATTAAAACAAACAAAGAGCGGTCAAAAATTCACTTGGGGTCTAATCTTAACTCTTTTTAAATATTTTATTGCGTTTTTTTTGCTTTTTTTGGATTCGAGTAGTGTCCTTGCCACCGTGAATAGATATCCCTACTGCCACTCGGGAGGTGCATGGATCAAAAAAGGTGTTTTTCAAATAGCAGTCGCCCCTCGGCAGACAATGGCAAACCTCCGAGTGTACTTTTGCCATAAAAAGCTTCTTCTGGGAAGGAGTAAAAGTGTAGATATCTTCATTTGTGTCACATCATCAAAAAGCAGAACACGAATTGTAGGAGAAGCTCGGCCAAACACGTAGAAAACCTTTAAGCGCAAAACATTCATTTATTGGAATCAAATATGATATAATTTTCATCCCCAAAAAAACCTAGCATATAATTTTAAACTATTTAGGGTCTCCGCTTAAACTGCAAAAAGCCTTGAAAACTTCGAAAAACTCAAAACTTCTAGAGGTCAAGGTTTGTATGAAATAAAAAGAGGTTTTCGATCAAACAATCCGGCTTATTCGATTTTAAAAAATCAACACTTAAAAAACCGCCTATAGATATTCAAAAAATCAGTGGAAACCAATTTGGAAAAACCGAATCAGTCACCCTAATAGGTGTGCATAGTTTCTGTACATAGAATAAGTGTGAAGTTCTTCATTTTTTTACTGTTTTTGGTAACAAATAAAAAAAATCATTATGGCAACACTGTGTACGAGCACTCGTCCGGCGAAGCACCTTCGCTAACTTTGTATGCCTTATCACAGCAGCAGCGCATTTCAATAACTCATACATACATACATACATATGTACATAAGTATATACCCTACAAGACAGCTGAGTATCATATGAGTACTCATATTATCATTACTCCTAATCACAAAAGTGCTTATCAAAGTCCTCATTTTCGTTCAGGCCATGGGAAAAATTTGAGTACTTTCCCCTCAATGTTGTCATCAGAAAGTCCTCAGTACTAATAGTCAAACTACTCATTTATGCCGTACTACAAAAACAAAAGTGTAAATGTGTGAGAATTTTTGCCTAAAGTGCTCAGCAATGTCTTGTAGGGTAAAAACGTGTGCACGCTTATCGACACTATTAGCGCACTTCGGCATCAAGTGGCTCCATTGGCGTTGGCGTTGGCGTTGGTGTTGACGTCTACGTCGGCTTCACCTTTGGCGCTTTCGTTTGCTCCAACTGCTCGAATGCTGCTACCGGCAATTAAAGCATTCCAGTGGCACACGCTCATACAGTACGCCACGAGCCGCGCTAACGATTGGATGCGAGAAATTTCGAGTACGCACAACACAACTGTCAAGTGTAAAGTCGAGTATTTTATCGAATCTGTGCAAACGTTGAGTTTTAAATTAAGAATTAATTAAAATAATTTATTTGTAAACTTGAGCGATTTGTTGACAATTCAGCTGTAATATATGTATGTAGTGCAGACGAAGGGGAGTCACTATAATTGTAGGCACTGGGCATTGAACGAATTAAATCAAATAATTTAACTGAACAAATTTTTAGAATTACTAGAACGCTTTTTTTTTTTTTTTGTTTAATTGCTACTATAGTTCGATTCAAACGCGCTGAAAAGTAATTCGAAACCCGTTTCCTTTTGCTCCAATGCTGCTGCTCGCTTGCAGCAGCTTCCAAGTGCAGTGCAACATTAATAAATGCAAAAATACGCAGCTAATAAATTATTTTAAGCCACTCGGCGTCTAAGTGGATTTGAATGTAATTTATGCAACAATAAACACATATAAATAGCAAAAAATTGTTTGTGAATTAACTAAACTTTGCGGTAGCAAAGGTGCTTCAAGGCATTTTGTAAAGTGTTTTTGATTGAAACGTGTTGTTGTTCTTGTGGTTTGTAAGCAAAAAACTGCGATTTATTCTTATTTTTTTCATGTAAATAATTGCGAACTATTAAACTTACAAAAATATTATTAAGTGTACATTTGTCTGGCTAAGAACATATGTACATACCTACATCTGCTTTGGCAACACCTTCATTTCGTTGTACAAAAAAAAATAAAAACGTAATTAATAGTGGAAATAACTGATATGGAGAATACCAGTGTTCTTTCATTGATCTCGCTCGAAGCTGAGGAGTCGACGAGTGATTTCGCTTGGAATGTCAGCTCAACTGCATCGCCAAGTGTTATTGCCCAGCCGCTCGCGCTCTATCACAACCGCCGCCGTTTCTTATTCAGCGGTATTGTACTACTGCTCGGCGTTATTGGAAATTCTTTGGCGCTGTTGATTTTGGCGCGCAAAAAGGCTACTAAAAATAGCAAATATACGTTAATGTTGCGGTAAGTATAAGCATTTAGAAATCTAAGTAATGTCACAAGTGAGAGGGTAGCGAAGCGAATGCCTGCTTTAGCAAATATTTGTAAATACAAACATATACACATACGTACAAACACATTTATAAACGCTGGACCGAAGCATTAGCGGCTGCACCACTTAATTGGTGCACTGGCCGATTGGTGTTCAAATGAGGTTCAAGGCGGCATAGTGGACACTTTATTGGTGTGTCCGTGCGCTGCTACTTAGTTCAAAAATTGAGCCACGCTCGAAAAATTGCCTCATAAATTCAGTTTTGGTAGTACATTGTTTATCAGACCCATCTGTCTAGCCATACCTAGTCAATCAGCTAGTATTTTACAAAGTTCGGACCGTTGCCGGTTCGAAATTTTCACATATTTTGGACTAGATACATATAAGATTCGGACTCAAAAGCGTTTTCTAAAGCATCTTGGTACGATTTAAAATTATTAAACCCGTTTTCTCAAGTAAATTTTAAAAATGATCTGCTTTTCGAATACATCTTTGCAGAACAAAATTTGTTTTAAAAGGGCAAATAAATTTTAAAATACAATTGATCAGAGGGCCCTTAGACTTTCAATTTTACTTCACAGACGAACATATCTACAAAAAAAAAAACTACTAAAAATTCAATATAAAAAACTATTCTGAAATTATTAAAATTCGAGGTCGCTAATTACGTATCTGATATCAGTTTTCCTAATTCGCAATAACGAATCCAAGCAGATATCCAAAATAATTATCATCCTAATATTTGGGATCAAAAACGTTGCCTTGTTTTGAGAGACATTTTTTCGTCTTTTTTTTAATAATTATTTACGAGAAATATCTTTTTTCGTCTCTCGGGACGATTATTTTCTGAAGGAAATTATTTACGTCTTCTTATAATAATTATATAGGATTTTTATCTCGTTCCACGTTTTCTCTTAATAGTATTGGTACATGTATAGCCGATTTCATGAAATTAAGCGCAAATATCTCAACCTCATCTCGAGAGATGCAAAAAATAAAAGTCCCATATAATAATTATGAGAAAACAAAAAATAATGTCCACCATAAAATCATCGTCCCGCGAGGAAAAAAAAATATTAAAGTCTTAGAATATTATTAGGAGAAGATGAAAAAGCTTTTAGTCTAACGATTTTCGTCTCAGGTGACGAAAACCACTTCCCCATTGTTCAGTAATAAGTATACAGCAATATTTATTTTATTTTATTAGATATGGGCCATCCCATGTAAAAGATGAAAACGAAATAAATTTTAAAATGCCCAAACTGCCTCTATTGCAGTAGTAACCTCTTTTTGAATAACCAAATTTCATTAATCTGTTGAAAAATATAAAAAGAAGGATGTTGTAATTTTTATCTACGGAAACTTTTACTTCATGCATAATTATTGTACACAAGTTACAAGGACATGGTGGGACACAAATTTAAATATTTTTTTATAATTCTATAAAGATTATATAAACGTAATTTTTATTTAGAACGAAGGCATAGAGTTCATATTTTACAACGCAAAAACATCTTTCGTGAAAATTTAGAAATTTGGGAATTTAGGAATTCATCTTTGAGTGCACAAGGGTGTAAAATAGTTATTTTCAGTGCACCACCAGTCACATTCATTCAAATGATAGTTACATAAAATCAAGAAATCGTTGGGTATTTTTGTTAAAGTAATTTTATACATTAATTATCGTTCTATTTCAAAAATATCTGTTGTATAAGTTCCGACGACATAGTTATAATTCACAATTGATCGCATTCTGGACTGAAAAGTCCCAGTTGTCACAATAGAATGGAAATTTTTTCTAAAATTTTCTTATTTGAAGCCAAAATGCATGTAGATGCTTTATGAGCATTTCTACATCAAAAAATAAGTTTTGGAAAAATATGTTTCTTTTTCGATGTTAAGTGCTCGATATATGGGTAATTCTCACAAACTTCTTTTTTTTCTTAATCGTGAGCACATGTCTGAAATTTTTAGTATACGTTCTCTCAGCTACTAGAATACAAAATCCGAACCGTAATTCCTTCTGAACTTTCCCTGTCTCATGCATGTGTTAATCTCAATGTGTATACATTTTTCTTCTCCGACTAATTAAAGCTTGTCACCAGTGATGCTGAGCAAATTTATAACACCAAATGTTGCCGTCTGACTATCTGCTATGAAAAAGTTCAGAAAGTCAAAATATTACTTAATATTAGGAATTCTATTTCCAAGAGCTCTTATCGCAGTCATTTTCGATGTCTTAGCAGCATACATGAATAGGTAGGTATATGATGATTTATTACACAATATGTGTTGTTAGAATATTCTGCAGATTTGATGAGACCGTTATGTATTTAGCTAATAAATATCGACATAAAAATAGTACTATTTTGGCGCTTATACTTTTGCTAAGTATTTGGCCGGCCGTCTACACCAAATTGTGGTGTGTGTAATATTGTTACGCAAATAGAGGGACCTACAGTTAAAAGCCGCCTCCAAACGGCAAATGGATTTTATGAGAAGCTTTTTTATGACAGAAAAAAATTTTCTAATTTAGATGTTGCTCGGACCAGCGGATGTACGCAAAAAAAGTTTTAAAAGAGTTGAAGGCTTAAAGTAATTTCGAAGGTTTTTCATGATTAAATTCACTGGCACAACGGCATTTTTCCAAATAAAATAACCGTGGAATATTTAAAAAAAGGCGGTATCATACTTGCCATTTTCGTTCCCACGACACTCGCTTCTACACAATCGAGCGACCCAGATTCATATCTCACCAAGGATGGCCACTTTAGTATCATTCCTCAAAAATGCTTTGGGGAATTTGTACGCTGTTACAATAACAACAAGCATTTTCGTTGAGTTTTATTTAATTTAATTGCACTTGTCTTTGTACTACGGCTACAAAATTTCAAAAATTTATTTTTTATTGGGTCCGTCATTTTGAGTTTCTCCAACCTGACCTCACATTCGTAACAAGCGGTCCCAAGAATCCCAGAGAAAAACGTTTCAACCGGACCGAATCGATTTTAATTTTTTGGCCCCATATTGGATTTGCCATTATGAATTTTTAAAATCATGCTCTAGGTTCTTAATCAGCAACATCAAATGTTAGATTCTCCGATGGCACAAAAGTTGTAAAGCAAAATCTAATTTACGGATAGTTTAAACGCCATATTTGAGACAACATGTTGAATTTTTCAAGAGGCCACACTGTTTTCAATGGGAGGCGTCTATGTTATAATTTTAAGACATTAATTTGTATAATCCGTCGTATATAACTTCGGCCATCGTACTGTACCGATTGACGTGATAAATTTACGCCACTTTCCTTACATGGCTATGTTTGTCACGTTCCTGGTCCTGATTTAACCCGCATCCATCGTTTGTATCAAATTGATGCGAATTTCGAAAACATGTTAAAATATTAGCATTTACCCGTGGGTTTCACCCCACGTCTGAAGGATAAAAAATTCCACACCTATGTTTAGTGCTACGCCCCCTTTTACAAACTCATTTATATATACTTTACTATAAGCACCTATATGGAGTATGGAATTAATTTTATTTTTCTCGACACCAAGTTTCACTGCCCTACCACAAATATTTCAAGAGATATACAACATGAAAGTTTTAGTTAGTACAAGAGATGCCACGCCCTCTTTTCCAGTACTGCCCATTTTCCTCTGTGACTATAACCTTCCCGGGGTAAAAACAAATAAGTGTGCAAAGTTAAGTGCGATTCCGAAAGTTACTCATACGCCACGAACACCTACGCTTTTCTACTCATATTTCATACAAAAAATCTTTGCGCATTTTCATTTGACCACCCATTATTTCGTATTTATCCATCGATTTTCTTCATCAGTAACTTGTTTTTTTTTTTGCAACAGAACAGGCTTTAGTACAAATGCAAAAATTCGGCACAGAACCTGTTATTATTTTAATTTTTCTTCTGTTAAAGTTTGATTTATTTCAGTTTTTCATTAAAAAATAATAAAAAAAACTGGATTAGCTAATCAATTTGACAGAAACTATCAGCCCTATCGGAAAGCGATGTATATATGGTTTATGGAGAATGTCATTAGCTTTCATTTGTCGTATTGTTTTTGTAGATTTTTAAATTGGTTCGTAAGATATACGTGATTAAAAGAAAAAAAAATTTTTGCTTTAAGCTGAATAACGGTAAATTGCAAATATCTCGAAAACGTATCCATAGAAAAACAAATTAACCCGATTTTCGGAATCACCGAGCAATTCCACATATAAAATTGGATAGCGACGTCTGGAGAACAAAAACCAAATTTGTGATCCAGTGTAGTTAATGTTTTGATTTTTTTTAGCGACAAATGCGTATAGATCTTTCGAGCATTTTTATTCTTATTATAAGAAAATGAATAAACGTTGGTCGTTAGATAATAAAAAATTAAAAAAAAAACATTTCATTGAATACTAGGGTCTTTTCCATATGTATCAAATTGATGCACAACGTACTTTCGCGTTACAAAAAATTTTCGTTGGGTGTGGGCTAAGCATCGTACAACATCGTACGCATAATGCTCCTCAATATTAGTCAATGCAATAAAAGATACAATACAAAATGTATGCCCTAGGAAAATCATATTTGCGCTCACTAGGAATGTAATTCTTGTCAAATAATCCCGGGATTTTCGGGATTTGTAACTTGCACTAATGGCAATAATTGAAACTACTTTTCTTGACCAGTATTGGCTATATTTATTTTTTATTTAATAATTACGATTTTTTTATAAATGTCTAGCTTATTATATGTACATATAACACCGCGCGATAGTAAATTTTAAACACAAATATCAATATATTCGCGAAATCATGGGCCAAATATAGTAAAATTGCGTTTTTAGTTTTTTAATCTGTAATCCAAAAATGATTTAATCATTTCAGTGAAATGTGCTTAGGGAAGAAGTATGGGTATCAAATTGAAGAGGAAATTCTTTATAATTTAATCAGATTA